TAGAAAGTGTACCAAAAAAGAAAGAGTCTATTGCTGCAAAGATACTGAATAAGAGGATTGAGACAAATCCATTGGATTTGTCAAGATATCATTTAAGATATTTGCCAGAGTAATTTTGATAGAGTTTAAGAAGAATTGGTTAGGTTGTGGTTTTAAGAGTGATAAAGTGGTTAGAAGTAGGAGATGCAGAATTAATGACAAAGTCAACTTTGCTTAACTCTTTGAAAATGGTATATTTTCTTTCACAAGACAAGCTAGACCATCTGCTATCATATAGGAAAGAAATTATTCTTTTAAGAAAAAAATTTATTTTGGTTATTAACACTTCTTAGTAGTAGAACCTCCCGTGAAAATTATCATTCTTGACTTACTGCCCCCCACCACCAACCAGAAGCTGAGAAATTTTCCATTAAAACAGTTTCAGTGTCTTAATGGTAAGAATTCTCTGCTGAGATGTACTGTCATGGTTTGAGGGGGTCTAGAAATAGTACCCTCTGTTCCTTATCCAAGTTCAGAATCACTGGAGACCTAAGCAAATGAGTTCTCTGATGGAATTCAAAATAACTGCTTTAAAATTGGTGAAGGAAAGGGCTTATTTATATAGTCACAAAGGAACTGCTAATACTTTATGGCTGAATTAGATATATTTGCTAATCTTGTCAATGGACAAGATGTGTAGGTGGACAGCCAAAGGTATGGAAGAACAGGAAGTTCTTGCCCTTCTAAAAGATCAGGAACCCAGAAGGGACTGAGTTATGCATAGCCAGTTCTTCTTTCTCAATTTATTAGTCAGATACATTACTCCGTTCCAAGAGAGAGAATGGAGATGGTGGTGGGCAATTGCCAAGGGAGGAGGCGGAAGTGACCAGAAGTGTACTATAGTGGAAATTTCTCCATAAGAAAGCTTGAGGCCAGTGGGAAAGGGGTTCTCACCCCAATCATTTTATTCTCCAATATGCTCTTTTAAAATTGAGGTACAGGGGCACCTGGGTGGCTCAGTCGTTAAGCATCTGCCTTCGGCTCAGGTCATGATCCCAGGGTCCTGGGATCGAGTCCCACATTGGGCTCCCTGCTCCGCGGGAAGCCTGCTTCTCCCTCTCCCACTCCCCCTGCTTGTGTTCCCTCTCTCGCCGTCTCTCTCTGTCAAATAAATAAATAAAATCTTAAAAAATAAATAAATAAAATTGAGGTACAATTCACATAAGCTAAAATGCACAGATTTTAAATGGTCAGTTTGATGAACTTTGGAAAATGTACTATATATTCATGTAATCAGTATTCTAATCAGGATATGAAACATTGTAACACTTTATTTCTTTCAGTGCTAACCTGTTCATTCATTTAAAATGCTTAAAATCATAATAAATTTGTAGTAATTCTGTTTGACAGCTTTGGTTGTCTCTGGATGTAGAATTTAATGAACTTCCCTAAGAAGATCTCGCATCATTAATAGGCATGTAATTATTCCCATGGAGAGACTGAATGCTTTTTTACTAATAAGAAATCTTTTTAAAATGGGATAATCTATGTAGTTTTTAGCTATATATTTTATATTCTTAAATACTTAAACTGTCTTCATTGATTTCTTCGTATCTTAAAATGTAAGACACTGTATTTATACTTTAAATTATATGGAGTACATAGTAGGTGCTTAACAGGTCACATTTACCTTCCCTTTGCTATTGGCACACTTTGGCTCTTAAGTGTGTGATACAAAGGATGGTAACTAGACAGCTTTGTGCAAAGAAGGAACTCATTCCTTCGTTCACTCAGTTAATTTAACAAATATTTACTGGACTCCATGCAATGACTGTAATTAACAAGATGCCCCATAAAATATAGTGGGGGAGGTATATTAACAATTAAATAAAAAATATAATTAAAAATTGTGAATAGTGCTATGAAGGATGGATACAGTGAAAATGATCCTGGGGGGTTAAGGAAGAGGAGACTTAGATAAAATGGGCAAAGATGGCCTCTGGACTGGTAACATCCATACTGAGACTCGATCAGAAGGGGATGTCAGGTAAGGCACTTTGGGGATGGGATGAAGGGAAGGAAAGAATTTAAAAAGACCCAGATGCCAATATAGGTAGTACTAAATGAGTCTTAACTGCTTTTTATTACTTGTTGACTGATAGTTTTGATGGATTGCTGTAATTTGACTAACATAAGTCTTATTTTTTCACCCAGTGTTGGGATAATTACATTTATTACTTTTAATAATACGAACTTAGATATTATACATTATTTCATACTTTATTTCAGGAAAATAAACTTAATGTGCACTTAAGTTTGAATAAGAATATCTGAGTTATAATGCCCTACAACTTTTTTTTTTTTTAAAGATTTTATTTATTTATTTGAGAGAGAGAATGAGATAGAGAGAGCGAGCATGGGGGGGGAGGGTCAGAGGGAGAAGCAGACTCCCTGCTGAGCAGGGAGCCTGATGCGGGACTCGATCCCATGACTCCAGGATCATGACCTGAGCCGAAGGCAGTTGCTCAACAACTGAGCCACCCAGGCACCCCTATAACTTCTTTTTACTTATCGAAGAGATACATACAAATATACTTTTTCTTTAGAATAAAAATCAATTTCTCAAAACTGCTTATTAGTTCTTCTTAAGAAAATAAATATTAAACTTGGATGAGAATGATAACCTGGGATTTTTTTATAAAGTATAGGTTTAGGTTTACTAGATTAGTCAGGTTGTACTACATGTCCCTAGAGCATTTTAGTATTATTTGATGTAAAATTTTAAGTCTCCTTTTTCTTGGGTTGGCATGGAAAGTAATTATCTCTCACTTTATAATAGGGGATTTCATCATATTTTTAGAATTGTCATGACCTGGCAGTGTACAGAAGTCTATTAAAATGTAAGGTGTCTATAAGCTCAATACTATTTGCATAATACTATCAAGACATTATTTGTCTTTTTCACTTTGTTGACATTTGCCTTAACAATGGTACAAAAGCAATTGTGGGTAAAAAACTGAAAGTGCTTTAGTATGTGTGAATCAGAGCTGTAGTAGTACTAAGTTGTACTAGTAGTATTCTTCACCGTAACATACTTGAAATAGAAAAAAATACCAGTTTCACTTAAGAATGCCCATGATGGGGGCGCCTGGGTGGCTCAGTCGTTAAGTGTCTGCCTTTGGCTCAGGTCGTGATCCCAGGGTCCTGGGATCGAGCCCTGCATCGGGCTCCCTGCTCGGCGGGAAGCCTGCTTCTCCCTCTCCCACTCCTCCTGCTTGTGTTCCCTTTCTCTTGCTGTGTCTCTCTCTGTCAAATAAATAAATAAAATCTTTAAAAAAAAAAATGCCCATGATGAAGCAAAAAAAAAATATTTAAAAATATCTCAATATCTGTGTACACATTTTAAAAATATTCTTTGTAATGAAATAGGAGGTACATATAAAACACTTCAGTTGCATTACAAAGTCTGATGCCTGTTTGGAATAAAAGCACTTGCGCAATTGTTTATGAGCTGACCAAGGTACTTTTTTTTCATGGAAAAACATTTTTTATTTGAAAGAACTGACAAACTGGTTTTTCATATTTGGCAGATATTTTCTCACAAATGAATGAAGTTAATTTATCATTTAAGGAAGACAACTGACAATATTTATTGCTGGTAATAAAATTGACGTTTGTAAGAGAAAATTAGAATTTTGGGAAACTTGTATGCCTTCAGCTTGATATTTCCCCAGTACTTACGAGAGTCTTTTAGTAAGATTAGTGGGTGATACTAACGAATGTTATATTTTGAAATAGGACAATGAAATATGTCAGTATTTGGAAGATAGGCATAAATCCATGACCTAATTTTTTTTAATGACCAGGGCATTGATGATAAATATCTTATATCCATGAAAGATTCAAAGTGTAAGAGATCAGTGGATATGAATGTGAGAGTTGGAAGCATTTATTAATATTGTTTCAGATTTCTTATGGCAACCAACCTTCAAAAAACTACCACTTGTCAAGTTTTGGTATGGCGTCAAAGAATATCCACAGTTATCTGAAAAGGCTATTAAAATACTCTCCTGTTTTTCAACTATGTGTGTAAGGCTGAATTTTCTTCATCTACTTAACCCAAACAACAAATTATAGAAGACTGAATACAGAAGCGGATAGGAAAATCCAGTTATTTTCTATTAAGGCAGACATTATGGAGATTTGTAAAAATGTAGAAAAATACTATTTTTAATGAGTTTTTTGTTTTTGGAATATATTTTTTTTAAATATTACTGTTAACAAATAATTTTATAACTGTTAGGGTCAAGTGAATTACCAAAATGAATCTTAAAAATTCTGTTTTAATTTTTAGTTTTTAAATGTCAATAGAAATAATTGATGTAAATAAAAGCCCTGAATTTTTAATATGTAAAGAAATTTTGACAATCTGTGGAATAGGGGAATCCATATATAACTTAGGACGAGAGCACGGCTTTATAATCCAAAATGTACATGTTAAGGCTTATAGCAGTATTTTGATTTGAAGGGTTTTTCAAATGGCAGTGTTGAAGTAGGTTTTATAATCATCAGCTTTGTATTATTTTAAGTCATAATATTTTGAAACTTTTCTAAACCTTCATTTTCATTTTATGTCTTTAAAATGCAGCAGAGGAAGCCAAAAATGAAACAAAGTATTATTTGCAAAGCAATGTAATTTTTTGGGGACATTCAGTTTTTTTTTCAATTAATCATGGCTGGTTTCCTAAACAAGCTAAATATGGTATAAGAATCCTGAAAAAGATGTTCTGTGACAATCTGTATTATTCCTGAATATTCCTGGTATCTCACGTATACAGAATGAATATTTAATATCTGAGTTAAATGGATATATTTTATTTAAAAAATTTGTAATGGTACAGGCCATTGCCATTTTGTAATGTATGTGGAAGTTAATTCACAGTAATGCCTGTTAGTGTTAACCATCATGAAACATGATGATCATATGTTAGAGTTCTTATTTCTCTTCTTTCTATAAACAGATAATCTCAGTGATACCTTGAAGAAGTTGAAGTTAACAGCTGTTGACAGAACTGAGGATAGTTTAGAAGGATGTTTGGATTGTCTACTTCAAGCGCTGGCTCAAAATAGTAAGTTTCATTATGTTTCAAATGCCAAACAAAAAAATTAAATCAGCAGTCATTCAGAAATTGGTATGTAGTTTAGCACATAACTTGCATTCCCATAACTTGAATTCTTTTGAATCCTATCCCAGAATACTGAGGTTGTTTTACATGCTCTACCCTCCCACCCCACCTGCCCACCCCGGAGGTACTGAAAGCCAAGTTGATAGGCAGAAGAAAGGAGGAATTGATTGGTGGTGATGGCATTAATTCCAGCCCCAGAGAGAGGCCATTCTTTCATTCCTAACAGATAAGCACCATAGTTGTTTTCCTTCTTAACACCTACATTTGTTCTTTGAAAAAGACTGCGTGTGTGTATATGTGGGGAGACTGTGGGGGAGAAACAGAGGGGAGCTTAAAACACCTCGAATTTTTTTCTGAGATCTTATGGTCACCTTTTTAATAATTTCACTTTAAAGTAATGTTTATGAAAAATAAATAATGCTTATGCTTAGATTTAATTGGAAAGAGCCATAAGCAGTCATTCAGAAATCCCTTAAAACTGAGGTAAGACTTGATCTTTGATGCTGTGGTAAATAATGCTTGTGATAAAAATTATACAGCTCAAAAAAAAAATTATACAACTCTTCATTGGCTAACACACTGGATTGTTGCATTTGATCCATCATATTTCCATTCATTAATTTTTGTATTATCACAGAGAATAGACGGGTACAGAATGATTTTTATCTGTTCCCTTGGTTCTGCTTTGTTGTGCTATGGTTTGTGCTGTACTTGTTTTTAATTGTACCATTATCTTATTCTGGGATTAATTATGTAGCTGACAAAGAATTTAGGAGAAAGTATATATTGTTAGAGTTTTAATTTCAAGCACTCAGATGTGTGTGTTATTTCTTTTTTATTTTATTTTTCATTTCTTAATGAACTGTGCTTAGAAAATATAAAATAATTGAATGTGGTACTCTTCATCAAAAAGCACATTTTAAAACTAGCTTGGAAAATTCTTTTTCAGTAATTCTCTTTGCTTTTGAGATTGTAACTCTGTCAAGTTCAATCTTAGAGATGACAGAGGTTTGAAACAAGGAGTTCAGTAAGAGCATCTGAATAAGGTTCACCATGGTAAAGAGAAAGAACAGAAAAGGAGAGTGTCTAAGGCTGTACTGTCCATTGTAGTAGATGTATGTGACTGTTTAAATTTAATAATTTAATTTAATATAAATGTGAGCCCTTAGTCTTACTTTTCAATAGCCATATTTGGCTAGTAACTGCCTTCTTGAGGATCACAGATATTAAGTCATTTCCATGATCACAGAAAGTTCTTTTGTATAGCATGGGTCTAGAAGACTAGAACCATGTGATGACCTGAGTTTTATATGCCTGTATAGACAGATTTACATAATCATGTAATTAGTCTAAATTGAATATCTCAAGTTCATTTTTTTGGAAGAGTTGTTTTATTATACTCTTCTTTTGTTTTTAATGGCCTGGTTTTTTCTCTTTGTTAGAAAAAAGAATTTTCTAAATGGACCATTTCTTCAGAAACTGAAGGATACGAAGGCAGTGTTCTTGGTTATATGTAGAGGGTTGCTCAGCCCTCTCTTGGAAAGACTGATAGAGAACTGAAGTTGAAAAGAAATGAAAAAAGGAAGCCAAAGTTTATAACTTTTTAAAGAATAGATTTAAGAAATAGAAGTATATAACTGTTGGATTAAATTTCAGATCCATTGCAGACTTACTCATTGAACCTATTTATTGAAAATAGCCTTGAAATGTATATTATAAAGTGTTAAGGGCAAATAGCCACAAGGTGTCAATAAAAACAACAAACTCTACCAATTTAACTATTGACTCCCCAAGAAGGGAGCAAAAGGAATATGTCTTTTTAAGAATCCGTAACAAAATTCAAGTGTCCTGATATCTAAGACTATTGACACAAAAGAATTTGACACAGGAAGAGGAAGTTCATGCAGATGTTCCAAGTTTAACTTAAGAATGATTATCTGTCATTGACTGAGTGCTTATTATGTACTCAGCACTGGAGTTGGGGATATATCTGTTGTCTAATTTAAACTTTCCTTTAGTCCCATGAAGAGGTGTTATCATCACCGTGTAAAGGAAAAAGAAACAGACACTATAAGGTTACTTGCCTGGCTCTGGCAGAGTCTAGAGTTTGGATTTGAACTGTTAGTCTATAAAATAAAAAATTACATTCTGAGTAAAGTGTGGCTTTTCGCTGAGTTTATAAGATGTGAAAGTGTTTCCAAAAGATAGGTTTTAATATTGTGTCTTAAATTTTTGCTTTTTCTTTAAAATAGTCTCAAATTATATTATTAAAGATGAGAATGATATATAAACCTTTTTTCTTGAATTAGACTTATCTTATAGATATTTTATTGATACATTTTTTAAAAATTAGCACATGGCTTTTAAACAAAAGTAAAAAAAAAATACTAGTAAGATGTTTATTTTCTACAGTTGTTCTTCCTTTAAGTGATTGATCCATTGCCACTTTTACCCTCTTAAAGGTAAAATTATAAAACATTTAACTTAAGTAAATCTGTACTGGCTTTTTTTGCAGAGACCTTCTAGTGTCATAATTCTTCCTTAGTATCGGGTGTTTTAGCTAAAAATATCACTGCTTGTACCAGAATTGCACCTGATCAAGAAACAATGATTTCTCCATTCTGTACAAGTATAAAATGGTAATGTGTGTAATAGAAATCTAAACTTAAAATTTTATTTTACAATCTACTAACCTGTCATTGGAAAGGACAAATCTGAGAGGAAAGAAATTATGCTTTTTAAAATTTTTACACTGGAAATTTAGTATATTTGAATTATACATAAAAAATTATCATAATCTGAAATTGATGTATGACTTCAGAGTGGTTTTCTTTCTTAAATTTTTTTTGGGTAACATTAAATATAGTATATATGTCAGAATCTTAAGAGACAAGTGTTAGATAATTTTAATACTTACTAGGTTTTATGGAAAACATTTTGCTTAAGCATTTTGTGTAAATCTCTGATCTAAATAATAGAAGCATTCATTCATTCATATAAATACTTTAGATCTCAGTTTTAAAATGTTTTTAGTAAATATTTGAAAGCTACCCTCTAAGAAATCAGATTCTGTTCACTCTTACCTCTTTTGATTCAGAGCGTAGAAGATTCTCTGTAAATGCTTATTGTAGTATGGTTACTCTGTTCCATGCTTATTTGAAAATTTAAAACAATAGGCCGTGTTTTTATCCCTAAACATTAGGACAGGAATTGTCATTAGAGAATATGACATCTAAATCCCCTTGTAAGGCAAACTACTAGCATAAATCAAAAGCCCACAGACAAGAAAAATTAACAGTCCATTCATAATAAAAAATTCTATTCCATTATAAGAGCATGGGGACCATGTTCTGTTGCTGAGGGAACCACAAAACAATGCCAGCATGATCACCAACACAGCTTTCAATTCTTGTCCTAAAGGATTAGGCTGTTTTCCTCTGTCTCATTGCCTCATGTACCTTTGTGCTCTAACTTTTTTTAATTAATAGCTTAATGACAATTCCTATTTCCTACAAGAGTCACAGAATTGTTTATTTTCTGTAGAACAACCCAGTTTACTTTAAAGAAAAAAGTATTTAGTCTCTAGTCCACACTCCTAACCCAATATCAATTCTTACGTTCTTTCTTAGCCTTTGTTGTTTTTTTTATTCATTATATTGATTTTTGGCTCCCTTCTGAAGCTATAATCCTAAACACACCAGATTATATATAGAAGACGCTAATGTAGATTACTCTATGAATCTTCCCTAACAGAACTTACTGTTGTCATTTGCTTTTAGTCTGTTTTGTGCCTTCAGTATTTCTGAATTGACTTACTTTTGAATACCCAAATTATTTCTTAAGTAAGGGACTTTGAAACTTGTTATCAACTGTTTTTGTTTTCTTTTTTTTTTTTAAGATTTTATTTATTTATTTGACACAGATACACAGCGAAAGAGGGAACACAAGCAGGGGGAGTGGGAGAGGGAGAAGCAGGCTTCCCGCAGAGCAGAGGGCCTGATGCGGGGCTCGATCCCAGGACCCTGGGACCATGACCTGAGCCGAAGGCAGATGCTCAATGATTGAGCCACCCAGGCGCCCCTATCAACTGTTTTTCAATAGCCATATTAAACCTGAAATCACTGGACATGAAAGATTACTGCTGTTTTAGTGGAAACAAAAAATTATTTTACTTCTTTCATGGTAATATCTTGATTTTACTTTTTACCCTAAGTTATCAAATGCACCATAGAAGTGATATATTTCTTTTGCAAGCTGAATTCATTATGTTTTAACCTCCTTTACGTATTTTTCCATCATGTGACTCTTCTAGTTATTGTGTCCATTGTCCATGAGAGCTTATTAGTGGTGCTAATCATAAATTATCAAAAGTTCAGTTTTTACTAAGTAAAGATAGTGTTTATAGAATAGAGGAGACTAAAGTAGAGAAAATGGTCAACTAAAAAGCCATTGACAATTCTTGAGTAATTGAGAATCCTGGATTGCCATTGAATAATGGCAGCTACCTAAATCTCAGTTTCTCCACACATTCTCTAAAAACTTATACAGATCATCAAAGAGATAAAGTAAAACCAATTAATATAACCTATCCCTTAAGCATAACTAGAAGACAGACTCTAAGACCTTCAAATTATTAGGGAGAGAAATAAATATCAAAATGTAGCCTACTTAGCATCAGAGCCCGTGATAGAATTCATTGAGACTGCAGAAACTACATGGAAAAGACGAGAGGAAAGTTGGTTGAACCAGGAGCTCAAGTGTACATAGTTAATAAAATTGCCTTAAGAAGAAAAAGTCCTAGCATGGAAAATACTAAGATATGGTCTTAGATTGCAGATGATAAACATACAAATTGCTATAGTGAATAAAGCAAAAAATAAGAACCAACATTTTAGCTATTAAGTTTTCTTCCTAAACCAACCATAAAGCAGTTATCAGTAACA